ATTTGCATTATGTAGAAGATATTAATCTTCTTATATCATAATAATCTTGTTTTTAGATCACATGATGAAACAAAACAACTCTCCTGAAAATATTTTTATGTGTCACAATGATATAGGTTACTGTTACTTAATCTAATACATTTTTACAAGGGTCATTCCCTTGGGATGTGCATATTCAGGTGTCACGTCAGGAGATTTTCAAGGACTCTTATAACATGTGTAATTGCCTAAGGGGTATACTATATAAAACATGCAGTGTTTTCATTCTTAGATCATACTTACACAACTGTTCTTTTTTAAAACCTTGTTTATAATCATCATCCATTGTTTTATTGTGCTCTTATACCTTTCTAATAGGAAGTGATATCTCCTTCTTTACTCTATAGTACTTTTACATACTATAATCACTCATGTTTGATTAATACTACCTTGTTGAAAATGATTCATGTCTTCAGGCAGTGCATTTTTAGGCATCACATTGTGTGATATAAAGTGATTTTCAATAGTTTTTATAGCAAGTTTAATTGTGCTCCCCAGTGGCACAGCGAACTTACAATGTTAGAAACCGTATTTCGATACATGTGATGGGAAGAGCACAGATAGCCCATTGTGTAGCTTTGTGCTTAGCTTCAAACAAATAAACAAGTTTAATTGTCCCAAGGTATGTTATTATGTGCATATTGCTAGGCAGTATAATATGATTGTGTCATCATATCATACCACATAGCAATATGCCCCTGGTGTCGATGACGTATCCATATGAATGAAATACAAGTTAGGTCAACAGCCTTGTCATGTCATTACATTTATAAGACCTTGGCGAAATTGGATCAAGGTCATGTCTGTTTACTTCCGGCTTCAGATGGCCACCTTAACTACTATGATCTATCTGCGCTCTGTCAACTATGGAATCCAACCACGGATTTTAGCGTCGTAAGTTCGGAGACTTACTGCTAACTCATCGAAAAGACATGAAACTTTATACCGAATTATTTAGAAGTCTTTTGACAGGTAAATAATTCTGAAATTGAGAGGTATAGGAAAATAATTGTTAGTGTTATGAGCTAAAGTGTTGTGGACCAACCAAATAAGAATATCATTGAGATAATTCAAGGTCATATTATTCGGTAATTCTGTTAAAACCTCACATAAGTCCAATAGCAAATAGAACATTTCAAACCAAAATTGCTAAAACGATCAAGAACAACCATTACAGGCATAAATGCACCCTTTCCATGTTTCTGACTTAGAAGATCAAACTCCAACCATAGCAGAAATGGTTACAAGTTTGAGGTACAAGTTCAGAATGTTGCATGAGTACGTTATTACACTTCTGAAAGGTCCGAAAAGATATAAAGTAATAAAATAAAAGCCCCCTACATAATATAGCCCACAATCATTATACTGATTGCAGCTGCTCCCAGATTATCTAAATAATGGCAAAGTAAAATAATTCAGTTGAAGAACAATTTAATATGGCGATAGTGTATGGGGTGTGTCACCATAATGCCCTGGATACTATCAGATTGCATTTGTATCAATAACTGTTGCTGTTTGAGTAATTTCTGGTTTACAACGTTTCCTTTGTTATTATCTATATTTATTTAAGTGAAAAGATTGGTGTATGATACATAGTAATAAAAGTTTCGACGGACGTGGTCTTACTGTCACAAGTTAGGGTCCTTTACACGTCACTACATACCAGTTAATAAGAACAAAAAAATCAGTTTTTATATTTAGCCGGAAGTTGTAGTTTACACTAAACATAAGTTTTTACAAGGCTGGATCTAGCTTCTAATGACAGCACACATGACTCGATGCACTTAAGTTTAATGACAGTTGGCTGTCTATTTTTCTATCGTGCTATATCTTATATTAGTCCTCTAAAGTTATGTAAGTTTAATTTAAATGGTTTTAGCCATGATTTCAAGTGACTGTTTTAACTGTTAAGTCTATGATCTCAAAAATAACGTCGCGTGAATGCTTATAGATGATAATATCAGTTGCTCCTTTATAACTATTTTATTAAATATAAACACTGTTTAATTTTAATAATATACCTTTAAAGAAATCTTATAATTCGGTATAAACTACACTCATCTACTTTAACGTTAAAGTCATAAAAAAATAGAAATCAAAATGAGGCAACTTCTAGTAACCGAGATAATCATCGTGTAAATAAATCTACTTATAATTGTGCCCACCTGGTGATTAACTCAAATAATTTCAAGGACAACTAATGTCGCAGTAAATATTGATATTTTTTTCTACATCAAATATATTGAGACTTCCAAACACTTAACAATATTTTAACTAATAATACTTGATAAATTCAATTAATCCATATATATACATTGGATCTGGTGGATTAGAATAAAATTCAATATACAAGTATGATATATGAATAATGACAAGTTATATTGATTCTAGTTTCTTTCTGGTGAAATTTCTACAAACATTATCAATTTTTAAACAAATAAAATTCTGTTCGATTCTATCAGTACGCTAAACTGGTACCACTTCATGTGTTCTGCTTAGTTATGCTGGCGTCTATCCTGTAGCTTTACATGCATCACGTCACCTTTTTCATGGATAACTGGCGGTATGCCAGTATATTATATTCTGAATATTTAAGATAAACTACAAAATTAGAAGCACACACATACAAAGAGAAAAATTATGAACGAATAATTAGTCTAAGATTGTTTTTCCTCCTTCACCTGCAGTTCAAGCGTAACCAGTACCTGCGCGTTCGCCAACCAATAACGCTTTTCATAGTAAACGCTTATTACATTGTGTTGTCCAGAGCACGTATATATATATATATATATACGTATATTTACGTAATATACTTTCTGTTTGGATTTAGATTTGTTTGTTTTAGAAGAAATCCACAATGGGCTATCTGCTGTGTCCACCACGGGGAATGAAATTCAGGATTTTAGCGTTGTACTGTTGCTTTCTGAGCACAATATAACATAATACACACACACACACACAGATATATATATATATATAATTGAATTGAATAAGAACTGAAAGAAGTGCGTAAAATTAAATGAAGAGTTTAGGCTGGATTAGAGTAAATTAATCTATGAGACCCTTTTTTAGTTGCGACATAGCGGCCCATAGAAGGGCTCTGATATACGCGCGAACAAAAAAAAAAGGTATCATAGATTAATTTACTCTAATTAATCCTACCTGAAAGAATTTTAAGCATCGCGGCTATTGAAGATTTCCTCTTGTTCCTTTTCATTAACTATATTTTTGTGCGCCAGCAATATTAATCATGTGGCTCGCGTATACCCGATTCAGTTGCATCACTCATTAGAATCTCTTCCAGCATACCCTCAAATTGAAATTCCTTTAGGTAGGATTAGAGTAAATTAAAGACCTTAGGGCGTGGTCAAATACATAAATCGAAAGGGTTTGAGTTCTGAGTTCAAAACAGGAATTAGATTTCAAATCGGTCAAGAAATCACGGAGAAATGAACTGAAAGTTTGTACTTGGGAAAACAAAAAAGAGAAAAAAGATCAGACCCATTGTATGAGATGGGGCGGATTGGGAGCCTAAAACGGCAAATAGCCCAAAATCAGGATGATATATATATAGAGAGAGAGAGAGAGAAAGAGAGAGACAGACAGAGAGAGAGAAAAATATTACAGTAGGTTAGTCAGTAGCACTTGGACAGTATAAACCGATTATCACCCCACTGGCCCAGGGCCTGTCTATGAACCACAATCCCACGGCTAAAAAAAGCTCATCGTACATGAAAGATGAAAAAATTCGTATGAAATATACAAAAAAAAGGGGGCGCTGGTAAAAGGTATAATATTGGGTAATTTAATTGTTGTAGATATACAAAAGTTTCTTCAAAATCAGCCAAATACTTTTTAATAATAGCACAAGAAATAATAAACGAAACCAAGCTTTAGCTGTCCTCTTTTTATCTTTATCTATCAAAAAGTATTAGTTTTTGTTTTCTTCTTTTATCGTAAATGGGTTATCTGGGGTAAATTGAGGGGGGGGGGAGATATCAGAAGAGTAAAGCGTTGTTTGAAAATTCCGTATTATAAAAATAATACATATAACATTGTTATGTAAATTCTTTTCAGGTATAAGACCATTCTGATTTATATAACGTTTACATCAACAAACAGACATGTCTTTTTTAGAAATTTTAGTAACATTTTTTGAAGCCATAACTAAGCAGGAATATAGAATATTCTGCTAATGCCAGTACTATAGTTTTTTGACATATTCAACTTATTTATTGTGGACAATATCTAAGATACTAAAATTTAAAGATTCGACGAAAATGTTCGCTGAAAAGTCCATTGTTTTTATTCCTTGTATGTTTTGGTCCTTTGATTCTCATTTCTTTAAAGTCTTCCAGCGTCACAACGGTAAGTCTACTTATAACGTTAAAATCCGGGTTTCGATACCCGTGGTGAGCACAGATGGACCATTTGTGCAGCCTTGTGCTTAACTACAAACAAACGTTTCTTTAAAACTATTGCGCCAATATCATGTACTTGATAGGATGATGATATTGAAAAATACCCCTGTTAAAAATATTGGTTAATTTCAGGAAACAAAATAATAGTGAAATTCATTAAGTTAGCTATGCAGTTATATTTCTGTGATAAAACCAGAAATTTCTTGAAATGAAAAGTAATCATTAGAGAAACACTAATAAGAAAAATATAGTGTGACATATATATAAAGTAAATATTAAAAAAAATATGTTTTTATGTGTATTTAAGGTCCCTTTATCTTTGATTTTTCCCAATTTAGAAGATTGTTTAACGCAAGATTATTTGAAAGTCCAGTAAATAAGAATATACGATCAATATTCTATCCAAACAATCCACCGAAGAATAAACGAATTGCAACTTTTATTTCCTCAGTTTTTATTGGTTAAGACTGCCATAGTTATGACGTCAGAATAACCCAACATTTCCTCCTCCAAGTTAGTGTTGCACTGACCTCATTCTACCAGGTTGGTGGTGTTCTAAAGATTGTTGTCATACGTTAAAAGGTAAGTAGAAACAAATATTAATTTTCTTATCATTGAATGAATGCTAAAATAGTTTCACATTTATATTACATAGAGCTCAGGCTATAACTTACTCTACATATATTTAATTATTTTGTAACTTCAACATACAATTATTAGCGCAAGGAAGATAACCCAAGTGATAAGCTAGCCGAAATACCAAAACGAGACATATCTGCTTTCTACTCCTTTAACAATTATATTCTTCCATTAAAATATATTGGACAGTTCTTTGTTTGTAACGAGTGTTTTTTTGGCGATATTAATTTCAACATTGGGAAAATATATTTGAAATTGTCATTTTTGCAGGATGACTGTGTTTTTATTTATTTAAAGGTTAAATAATATATTTTACTGCAAGATATTGTCTATGTTATTTATGTAGCACGCTAGTTACAGATATAAACATATTTGTCTTAAAACTCATACAGTAAAGGATTTTTGTATTAAATACGTACTTTATATACTTCTTGTATATATATTCGTAACTGTTGCGTGATTGCATTGAAATTAACTTGCGTTTTGATTTAACTTACAAAATGGTGTTTATTCAGCATCACATTTACTTATAATTGAATTTATACATTTTAATTTATTCAATGGTAGATAGAAATGAAATCATACATAAATAACTGTTGAATGGCTTTTAATGACAACATATTTTTTGGTAAAATGCGCCCTCCAGTGACAAGTCTCAGATCTTATTAAAATCAAGTTTCTATACCAGCTGGCCCTGCCTGGCCAAGTGGTTAGGGCACTCGACTCGCAATTTCAGTGTTCGAATCCCCGTCCCACCAAACATGCTCGCCCTTTCAACCGTGGGGACGTTATAACGTGACGACCAATCCCACTATTCGTTGGTAAAAGAGTAGCCCAACAGTTGGCTGTAGGTAGTGATGACTAGCTGCCTTCCCTCTGGTCTCACACTGCTAAATTAGGGACGGCTAGCGCAGATAGCCTTCGTGTAGCTTTGCCCGAAATTCAAAACAAAGAAACTATACCCGCTGTGGACTGAGTAGAAGTATCCCATTTTGTAGCTTCATGAAACAAACAACTATTTGCCACCACGTGACAGTGTATTGAGTTGTAACTTAACTAATTTGAATTAAACTAAAACTAATCTAAGACTGTGGCATGATATTTAATGAAAATGATCAGTTATTTTCCATTAATCCATCTACGTTTATAGTAAAGCATGTCAACTAATATACAGCTATAGACAGTACTTTGTTTACTTTGACAATATAACACATAACTACTCGTTGAACGAATAGTTTATTCAGAAATACACTCGAGGCACACACACGTGTAGATGATATAGTGAGCGACTATTCGCTGTTATTTCTTTCAAACTAAAGTAAAATAAAGTTTTCTACATTACCCTGAAACCTGCAAAGAGATAAGTAACTATTAACTTAAAGAAGCCTGAGCTGTTGCTTATGAGATAAATATAAGGCCTTCTTAGCGTATGTATATATATATTTCAGGTTTGGAGTTAATTTTCTAGGTTGTGGTAAATAACCTGATGATGTGGAGACGAGAGGTTAGTGTTCTGCATGCTAGTACGAGATTAACATTTATTGTCGTTGTATGTGGATGGTGTGGGTTGGTCTATCTTTTGTGTTTATTCAGCCCGACCTTCTTGTTAAACTGCTTAGGAGTGATAATGGTAAATAAAAAGTTAAAAGTGTATATAATCAATGATTGTGAAATAAAAAGTCTGTATCAGATTCAATAATTTTATCATTATTAATTTACATGTTTCTATTTTAATATATCATAATATACAGAGGGCTAATAATACTTTATAAGAAAAAATATGTATACGCTAATATACTGGCGTGTCGTCGCAGATATGACTCATGCTATCACAAGCAACATATATCTATATATATGTGTGTCCGATTATTTAACAATGCAGAACCACCAAGGATAGACTTATGTTTGGAAGTGTACATCACAGTTTTTCCCAAGAAAGGATATTACAACAGAGTGAAGCTAAATAACAGCCAATGAACACACTATCCCCCTCCACATATGCACTATACATCTGTTAACTCCTCCTTGGATGTGTACTACATACCTGCCAACTCCTTTCCCCCACTTATATATTACATAAGTGCCAGTTCCCCTTCCCAGGGCCTCAAGAATTGAAAGGTGACGTCTACATATGGTGAATAGTCAGTTCTGTGGAAAGTTAGTCATGCTGGACCTCGCGGTGCTGGGCAGTAGTATTTAATAACAATCATCCGAGAACACAATCGACAACGAAGGAAGGTATTCCACAAACAGTACAGGACTTGAAACATTGCTCTTATGAAGTATGTTTAACCTTAAATAATGAACGTAAGAATCATTAAAGAACTAAAAGTAGACAAATAACTAAATAGAATGACAAATATAAAATCAAAAGGTTTGTGAATTACTTTTTGCTACATTGGTTTCGAACCCTACCAGCTTCTATTATTTATGACTGCTATTGCTTGTGCTTGAGCCGTAAATAAAACACCGTTATAATGAGTTAATTTAATTTTGAAACTTTTTTTTACATGCCAGAAGGGATAAGTTCACCGCAAAATTCCTATAACCTCCAGATCTATAAAAAGAGGAATATATGGATATTATACAGATTAGATCTTTAAATATTAAAATTCTGAGAGGCAACATGGCGTTTATTTTATAAAGTTGCCAAGATACCTCTTCTTGTGCGTTTAATGGTTTCTTTTATTTACAGAGAATGAATTTAAATAGACCAACAGAAATGTTAACAATATTTCTACGAAACCTGTCAGAATATTTTTCATGGATTGTGCTTCTTCATTTGAGTAAATAAACTTAAATTGGAACACTTCAACTGGTTAAATTTCAGAAAAAAATGCTTCATCTACTTTCTAAATACCAGGTGACGTATAAAACTGATTGATAAGGCATTGCTGATGTAAGAAAAAACGCTTTATTAGTTTATTTTTTTTATTCGCATCTGTATTAATGTTTCACTTAATCTTTGTGTATATATATATACACATAAAAGACGATGTGTCTAGTTAAGCAAACACTGATAAAATTCCTCCTAGCTTATACCTTTTGCCTCGGGCGAAAGCTTCACGTGAGGAGAGTTTAAAAACTGTGAAGAGAGACTTTCCAGACAAGGATTACTTCAACAATAAACATGTTTAAGGTATCCATGTATAGGAAAAAACAAGAGCCAAAATCTGACTCTTCATTCTCAATATATTGATAAATTCTGTCGAGCAGGTTTTTAAGAATATGCTTTTTTTCCCTGCTTATATTGTAGTATAAGCATTTTTAAAGCGATTTTTTCAAATACAGTTAAACATTTGGTTGAACCTTTTAATCCATTTTGACTGAACAAAATTAACCATCACTTCGTAACGGTGTTTTGGATAGACCTAAACAAATCTATTTCTAGTAAATTTTGATTATCTCATAAAATGTGGTTCTAGTAAAAAAAAAAGGTTTATAACTCTCTTAAACGGTTCTCTAGAACCACTATAAGTAGCACAAATTTATCCCCAGTGCATTATACTTTGATCGTGATATTTAACGTCTGTTCTCACTTTGTTAGTCGTTTTAACAGGAAATAAATAGTTCTGTAGTACTTTTAAGCAGTAAGAGGAGGAAGAAGTCCGTGTTTAAATAGTAGGCAGCAATCATCACTAATTTTTCGGTTCGGTTGAAAGTGTTGAATATATATATTCGTACATCTATCCTCAGCAATGCTTTATTAAAAAAAAACACAGGATTTAGAAATTGCTTTCTTATGGATGTTTTCCTTAACTTGTTTTTGTCAGTATGTTATATGAAAGAAGTTTTGAAGACAATTAGAGCTGGTTTTAAGTAGTTAATCGTGTTTAACATGCCTTTTTTAATACTCAAGTAAAGCATTTGTAAAATCAAGAAAACAAAACATAATATTAACGCAGTTGTTCTCAACATGTTTTTTTCATCATTATAATTATATTATATAATTACATTATCGTTTTACTTTATTTTATAGCTGTTTGCGTGTTTGAGTCGCCTGTGCACTATGTAACTATGAAGGTAGCTTTTTCCATGTACAGGTTAAGAATTTTAAATATATATGAAACTTGTTCTAAGATCATGGTGCTCTTAGGCTCAAGAGAAACGTTTATATTTGTTTGCAATATACTGTCACACCGAAACACTGACGAACTATGTATCTTATAAAATTAACAATGTTAAATGTATCAGTGGCCAGTTTTGGATGCGTGTTCAGTAATAAAATAAATAATTTGGTAATGTTTGTTTTACAATGTTTCCTCAAAGCTAAACAAAGGCTATTTCAACATAGGCTCTGCGTGTCGTCTGAAAGGAATGAGGTAACTTTTTTAAAGTTTGCACCTGTTAATGTTTTATCTGAGCTGTATTATAAAAACATCGTCTCTAGTATCTATATTTTGATAATATATATATATATATATATATTTACTTCTTTTCCACATTTAAACTAGGGAGTAGGGTGTTGGGTAAAGAGGATCTCCAGGATCAGCTGTTGCGTTGTAGAAATGTTATAGTTTGTGAATCCGATAAAAATTAATAATCTCATGGATTGTACATAGTTGTAAGTTTCCGCTGCCCCCCACCAGTGGCACAGCGGTATCTCTGAGGACTTATAATACTAAAAACCGAGTTTCGATACCCGTGGTAGGCAGAGCACAGATAGCCCATTATGCAGCTTTGTGTTTAATTATAAACAAACAAACAAACAAGTTTCCGCTACCCTAAAGTCATTTGTTACTCGTCAGTTTCTTCTTTGGTTTTGTTTACGTGAGCACAAGTTAAGATTAATTTCTCAGTTTTTATTTTTTTGCGTGAGCGAATGACGTTAAGACAAGCTTCTCAGTTTTTACTTTGTTTTTGTTTACGTGAGCACAAGTTAAGACTAGTTTGTCAGTTTTTTATTTTGTTTATATGAGCACAAGTTATGACTAGCTCGTCAGTTTCTTCTCTGTTTTTGTTTTCGTCAGCACAGGTTAATTTAACTCTAATTCGTCAGTTTTTTGTTGTTTGTTTACATGAACACAAGTTAAGATTAGCTCTTCAGTTTATTTTTCTTTTTTTGTTTATGTGAGTAAAAGTTGGGACTAACTCGTCAATTTCTTCTTTGTTTTTGTTTACCTGATTACAAGTTAAGTTAAAAACAGCTTGTCAACTTCTTTGTTTTCTAAGCACAAGTTAAGACTAGCAGGTTTAATCTGGCCGCTTACTGTTTCTTCTAGGCACAGTATAAATGAATTAAGTTTGTTTAATTTTATATAACTTTTTATTTTGGTTATTAACTATTATTAAGGTATTTCTCATTTGGGTGTCAGTGTTTAAAATTTTGACTAAGCACACACTTTCTTGTTACTTACTCAATAAAGTACGATAACATTTACAAAACTTTGAAAAAAAAACAACTTTATATTTAAATCTTTGATATGTAAAGATTTAAATATAAAGTTGTATTTTTTCAATAAGTTTAGTCTATAACATTTCATGTACTAGCTATGCCAGTTTTTTGTTGCAAGGGTTTCAGTAACAATAAACTTTCATATTTCCATCTTATCTGTAATTTGCTTACCTGTGTTCTTCAACAGATAATTTTCTATATTATTATTTCACCATAGTGTTACTCCCTTGTATAAACATGCATCTTAGTTTATTGTGGGTGTTACTCCCATGTATAAACATGCATCTTAGTTTATTGTGGGTGTTACTCCCATGTATGAACCTGCGTCTTAGTTTATTGTGGGTGTTACTCCCATGTATGAACCTGCGTCTTAGTTTATTGTTGAGTGGTTTTCGTCTCTAGTATCTCACAAAATTATATACACATACGTATGTACTATTGAGATGATCTTATGCATAAAAGGGAAACAATGGATAAAATAAACATACCTATTAAATGTGATGGAATATCGGCCAAATCTGGTAAATATCTAAATCAATAGGATTTTATGAACTTAAGTTCATATGTATGATGTAACTAATCGTAGATTTTTATCACCATAGAATTTTCTAATTTTGATCTTAAATTTGTAATTTGTCATCGAGTTATAAAAAGGGTTTAACTTTGGAATTCAAATTGTTCAGATGAGTTAAAGACCCGTAAAAATATATTTGAAAACCTGTTACTGAGGGAAAATAGAAAGAAAATGTTGTTGTTTTCATTATTATATCAGTCATTCTTGTACTGTGAGTAGGGCTAAAACAGTGGAATATTTTATATTTTTCGTTTTTTTTTGTTTTTTTTTACCAGTGTTTCATTCGATCGACACGGTATTTTTTTTTTGGAAACAAGTGATGTGAAGTGGTGGAAATTGCCTCATGGAACCTTTTTACTTTAATAGTTTTTAAGTACAAAAAAGTCATACTGTTTGTAAACCTTAACAGAAAATATTAAACAATATTGTTTATTTTAGGGCAATTTATATATTTCATAGTAATTTAATATTCACTTAGTCCCCCTCAAGGAAAACGATTTATTTATATATCTATGATTAATCAATTATGCAATAGTATAAGCCTACTTAACTCTGTGATTTGTGATTAACAACGACCTGTTATAAAATCTATATTTTTTCTATAACATTTTCTACTGAACCCTAACTTATCTCACATTTGGCCTGTTGTTCCATAAAGCTGCTTGTTATAGAACTAGGTCAACAGTTTTCAAAATGGCTGCCGAAAGAATCTCCACCATCTATCGTCATATTAATGGAAGCAATAAAATGCGAGACCGACCACGAGATAAACATGGGGAAGAAGAACCCAATGTTCCAAAACGCAGGTACATTAATAAAGTGACATTTTCTACTCTTACTTAACTTTATGTAAAAATTGAAATATAAGATGATTCACAGTTTTGAGAGTAAGATATACAATGTTGTAAGTTTTTAATATAAATAAATAGGGGAAAATAAACTTTTAACGGAAAGTAGGGATATTGGTTATTCGTAGAATGGCTATAAGAAGTATGCAAAACAAAATAAAAATGCAATAAAAAGTACACAAACAAGTAAAGTGCTACTAGTTGGTCAGATTTTAAACATCAATCCCTACTTTTAAAATCGTTTTAAAATATGTCCAACTAGTATCACAAATTTAAAATAAGACCCAAAACTCGAGCGCTTTCGAATAGCTGACTATTCTTCTTCAGGAGAACAAAGAGTGGCCTTTTTCGATTACCATGGTAGGTATTTAGGTTAACAGTATTTTCATTCCCCGAAGGGGAATGAAATATAACCAGGGGTGGTCAGAAACTTTCGTTTCTCTTAACCCCACTGCATAGTTAGAAATAAGTGGCCGAGGCTTTTATGAACTAAACGCTTACATGAGTGGAGGTTTTAGCTTATTGCGAGGAGAAGCGGAGAAGACGAGAGAGAAGGAGAGCTTCGCTGGGTTGTATGTTGACTATGGTAGTTTTCTTTCTTTCTGCTGGACTTGAGCGTTGGATGACCACGCGGCGTCGGATGTTTGTAGAGCAGAGCAGGGAGATGTAGATCGAGTACGTCCGTTGTTGACTAAAATATTAAGACTTAACTAATTACATAGTATTGATTAGCAGATTAGGATAAGGCTTTACTGTTTAGACACTGATAGAAAACTAAAGAGTTACATTTAACCTGGGATGGTCCTTTTCAGGGCTGGGATCTGAAGATCCAAAGCTTAAGGAGAAGTTTTGTTGTGGTGGGGAAATGGGAGTACCCTGATAAAACCCACTTTAATGGCAAAGGGCGCCGAATAAAATACCATACCCTGACCGTGCCCGGAAAATGCTGTGGGAAAAATACATATTGTTAGTTAACATAGGGTTCAATCAATGTAGCTACTGGCGATACTTGAAGGCTAAAACAGGCTGGCTGGGTGAAGAGGCGACGTCATTCTCTGAATAGTCGGTTCTTGGTAAAGCTGGATTGGGCTACGGTTGATTAGTCGACGGAGCGGGACCTTTTGTAGCTGGATGATGTGGGGGCTTCGGCTGGAAGTGCGTCTGAAGTTCTTGCCGTGGCTCTTGTCAGTCTCTTGGAGTCTATGTCGTTGAGGTCTTCAGTCTGAATTCTTCGGTCTTTCTTGGCGATCCTAGTCTGTGTTTCTCGGTGTACAGGTACGAGGCCGTCTGTTGAGGTAGGCGCGTCACACATGGTTGGTAGGGGTAACATGGTTGATATAGGTGAGAGGGTTTGTGTCTGCTGAGAAGTTATCTGAAGGTTGGTTGTTTGAGTGCTGGAGTTTGCTTTCACGGTTGTTTCACTTGAAGTGGAAGGCGGTACTGTTTCGGGTTGGAGTAAGGTGGCGAGAACTGGGAACTGTCGTTTTTGATGAGTCGTGGGTTTGTTGGTGCATGATTCGTGATCTGGAGGCCTAAGGAAAAGAACGGTGGAAGGATGGTAACGTCGTCTGGGTCTTTCGGCTCTAAAGTGAAAAAAGAAGTAGAAAGAACCCAGGGTGACCTTTAGCCAGCTCAATGCAATATATAGTAGGACGTGTGACGTCATGTAAACCGGAAGTCCCAGTTGAGTTGAATCTCAACTCAAGCAGTTAGTCTCCCGGAAGGGAGAATTCGTTTGTAGAGAGAAAAACAAAACAATTATTATTAATTTTCATCATGTATGAAACTTTTGACTGATAGAGAAAAATAAAATACATAGGAAGATGAGAGCTAGATAAAATAATAATGTAAATCGATACCTGAAATAATAATGTAGAGAAATAGAAGCATGAATAAAAATGTGAATAATAATAATAATAAAACTTTACAAACTTAATTACAAGTTATTCGGAATTTTTTAGAGACGCTCGAAGGTCAATAAGCCCAGGATCGAGATTGATGCCATTCGACGTTATAGTATTTAACAGTGCTATCCAGTAAGCTGCTTTAATTTCCCTGTTTCTGTTTGATGTAAATTTTGTTTCTATACCTGTCAGTATCATGTCGTCAAGAGAGTGGTCAAGCATGTTTGCCTCGATTGAAGACTTGTGGTTATTAAACCGATCCCATATAGTTGTTTTAGGTTGGCCTACATACTAGAAGCTGCATTTTCGGCACTGGATTAAGTAAATAGTGTTTTTTGTAGTGCATATTATGGGTTTATTGATTTTGAACTGTCTTTGGTTGTCTTTATCAGAGTTAACATATTAGTCTGCTGCATGAACTTACAGGTTTGACAACGTTTGCTATTGCAGAGATAACTTCCACCAGGTGTCGCATTAAAGTTAACTAAAGGTCACCATTTGTTCTCCTGCAGAAGAATAGTCAACTATTCGAAAGCGCTTGAGTTTTGGGTCTTATTTCAAATTTGTTACACTTTATATGTGATCCTTTGTGCTAACTCTTTTATCAAGATCCAACTAGTATCACTTTACTTGTTTGTGTATTTTTTATTGCAGCATTTATTTTGTTTTGGATACTTCTAATAGCAGTATAACCAACGATATCTACTTTCCATTAACATCTTAATTTTTATTTCCTATGTACTTATTCAGTTTTAATATGTCCGTGAAATGGACGCAATATCTATAAACTTTTAGTTTAGCCATATTCTTGATAGCTATAATTTTTTTACAATAATTAATACCACAATCACAAAGTTATAAAATGTAATATTTACTTTAGCCTACAAATAAATGTATAAAGCTACCAAAGTAGGGATTAAATTTTATAAGTTTATGATTGTGGTTTTAATTCTTGTTTCATTGCTTTTTGTAGCAGGATCTCTACTTCATTTTAAAATAAATAATTTTAATACTCTTGTTTATTTACTTTTTAAGTTATACATGTATAAAGTATATACTTTACCTTTAAAAACTTTTGCGTGTCGATCGATATGTAGCGCTATTTGTTGGGTTTAAAGGATGTTTAAGCATGATATGTTTACCACTTATAAAACATCTGTATATATTTATCGGAATATCAAAAGTGGATACTCACAGACCAGTTAAGTAAGCTGGAGAAATCTTGAAGCGATAGTCCGAGCCGTCTAGGGGCTAACCTCGCTGACGTGATCAGGTAGGTAGGTAGTAGACGAAAAAGTTGCTGTTTGAATTGTTATACCGGAAATGTTAACGACCTTTTAAGCGTGTTATTAGTATATATACGCGTGATATATCGTAACCAATACTTTAAAAGGTCGATTTTTCGCTTAAAAACTCAATAGGTTGTTCTTTGGCGCGTACTTAATAATATATTACTTGTTTAAAAGCTATATGTATTGAAAAAACAACATTATTACGGCTTTAAGTGCCAAAGACTTCAGAAACTGGCTAAACAGTAAAAATTAATAACCTCATAATAGCAAGAAAAATCATACAACACACTGCAGATATTTTTTAGCACGAATTTTAGTTAGTCCATTACATATTGCAAATTAGAGGTGTATAAAAATCTCTTTTTGTCTCTGCCCCATGTCAATGTTTTAAAGGCTTTTGGTTCGATACCACAACTTGTCAGTTGGGTTTGACATGTTCGTTGACAAAAAGTTTGTTCAAAATTCGATTTTTAATATGCGTTACAAAACATTTAATTTTATAGTAAATTATGTAAGCAAAGAAACTTAAAACTGTTGCATTTGAAGATCAAAGAGACAGCAGGAAAGTTTGATTTGTTTTAGAACAAAGCCACATTAAGCTATATGCTGTGTCCACTGCAGGAGATTGAACACTGGTTTTGTAAGTCCGTAGACTTACCGCTGTCCTTCCAGAGGACCAGCAGGAGGAAGAAAGAGATAATGCTTAAAGGGATGTTATACTTACACAATGACTGGTCACCCCTCAGCAAGATATTAGTGAATTAAAAACTATATACAACCTCTCTATGAACCTTCCCCAAACTAGACAACCATGGTTTTAGAAAAAAATGTTTTCTTGAAAAATCTTGTTTATCTGAAAACTTCTGCCAAATGGCAAAATCGTCTTCCTTTCCTCATAACATTTTGATGGGACAGAGGTTTTGACTGTATCAGAAGAGGCTGATGAGACTATTATGACACCCAAATCATTATTTTGTATCCCAACATGGAGATGGCC